AGGCAGCTGATCAATGATTCTCTCTCATCATTGATGTTTCTCTCTCTCTCCCCCTCTCCCTTTCTCTTTGAAATCCAATAAAATATATTTTTTTAAAAAAGAAAGTAAAAATCTTATTTTTGTGTTTTATCGATTAATACTGACATGACAATATTTTGGAAATATTGAGTTAAATAAAATATATTATTCAAATTAATTTTACTTCTTTTTTCCTTTTTTAATGTAGCTAGTAGAAAAATTTTAATTACATATGTTTTGGAAAACTGGTAAAATCTAAATAAAGTCCATAGTTGATAGTATTGTGCCAATGTTAACCTTTTAGTTTTGGCAAATGGACCTGATTATTCAAGATGCTAGGCTTAGGAGAAGCCAGGGGAAGCAATTACTGGAACTCTCTGTACAATTTTGCAACTTTTCTATAAATCTACAATGATTCCAACATGAAAAATGTAAAATCCCCTGCATTAATTTATAATCACATCATGTTTCTATTGGGGAAATATATAATCCTATCCTATATAATAAAAGCCTAATATGCAAATCGACTGAATAGCAGAATGACCAGTCGCTATGATGCGCACTGACCACCAGGGGGCAGACGCTCAATGCAGGCGCTTCCCCCAGCCCACAGGACCCAGGCCAGCCAAAGCGGGTGCCAGTGGGGGGCCCCCTGATCACCCTGCCAGTCACCCCACAGATCGGCCCTGATCGCCGGGCCAGGCCTGGGCACCCTACACAAGCACAGATTTTGTGCACTGGGCCTCTAGTTGTAGATTTCTATCGGAGAGCTTAAAACAGTTCTCTACGGGATAGTACCCTCCTCTGGTAGATGAGGAAACTGGTGCTCAGAGGGGCTACGCAGTGGGATTTTGGACCATCTGTTGGGTTCCAAGCCCTAGAGCTTCCTCCCGTCCTCCTTGGCTTCTACTTTTACAACTGGCCCCACTAGATCTTCCTGAGAATTCTCCCCAGGGCACTGGCTGCAGGGTGGGGCTGGTGTGGGGGTGGGAGTGGGGACTGGGAGGTGGGGGGAGAGGCAGGCAACCTGGGGGCTCCTGTGAAAGCCAGGACCATCCCGGTGAGAGCCTGGCAAGTCTAAGGCCCAGGACAAAGGGGGGAGCAGGCCCAGCTGGTAGCTGTACCCTCTCTTGGCTGGCTGTTCTCTTCTATCTCTGTCTGGCTTCGGAAAGGATCTCAGGAGCCTCTGCTGGTGCCTCAGGAAAGAATGGGCAGGGCCCTAGCTGGTTTGGCTCGGTGGATGGAGTGTCAGCCTGCGGACTGAAGGGTCCCGGGTTTGATTCCGGCCAAGGGCCCATGCCTGGGTTGCGGGCTCCATCCCCGGTAGGGGGCGAGCAGGAGGCAGCCCATCAATTATTCTCTCTCATCATTGATGTTTCTCTCTCTCCCTCTCCCTTCCTCTCTGAAATCAATAAAATATATTTAAAAAAAAAAAGAATGGGCAGGGCTGCTAAAGCCTTAGGAACCGGCCCCAAAGGGGACGAATAATGGCATCACGGGGGACCGAGGGGGGAGGGCGGTTGGAGGAGGGAGAGCAGGGCACCCGGGCCCATGGGTGTAAGGAACAAGCCTTGAGGATGCTCTGTTTCCAACCCGCCTTGTTGGCCCTCTCTTGTTATTTCAAACAGGAGTGCCCTCCATCCTGATGCGGAAGCCCCTGCCTCCTGCCTGCGCCCAAGGCTGGGCCACCACAGCCTACCGCTCTCTCCCTGCCCACCCCTTCCCTGCGGCCGCTCCGCTCGTGGGATGCTTCCTGC